ACTCAGTAAACTTATTCCTCTATAATTTTTACAGTCTCTTTTGTCCCCTTTCCCTTTATATAAAGGGACTATACATGCTCTCCGCCAATCCCTAGGTACCTTCCCCTCTTTCATACATTTATTAAACAAAAGTACCAACCACTCCAACACTATATCCCTCTCTGCTTTTAACATTTCTGTCATGATCCCATCAGTTCCAGCTGCTTTACCCCCTTTCATTTTACATAATGCCTCACGTACCTCCCCCACACTTACATTCTGCTCTTCTTCACTCCTAAAAGATGGTATACCTCCCTGACCAGTGCATGAAATTACTGCCTCTGTTTCTTCCTTAACATTTAAAAGTTCCTCAAAATATTCTCGCCATCTACCTAATACCTCTATCTCCCCATCTACTAACTCCCCTACTTTGTTTTTAACTGACAAATCCATACTTTCCCTAGGCTTTCTTAACTTGTTTAACTCACTCCAAATTTTTTTCTTATTTTCTTTTAAAATTTCTTGACAGTGCCTCTCCCACTCTATCATCTGCTCTCCTTTTGCACTCTCTCACCACTCTCTTTACCTTTCTTTTACTCTCCATATACTCTGCTCTTCTTATAACACTTCTGCTTTGTAAAAACCTCTCATAAGCTACCTTTTTCTCTTTTATTACACCCTTTACTTCATCATTCCACCAATCACTCCTCTTTCCTCCTGCCCCCACCCTCCTATAACCACAAACTTCTGCCCCACATTCTAATACTGCATTTTTAAAACTATTCCAACCCTCTTCAACCCCCCCACTACTCATCTTTGCACTAGCCCACCTTTCTGCCAATAGTCGCTTATATCTCACCCGAACTTCCTCCTCCCTTAGTTTATACATTATCACCTCCCTCTTACTTGTTGTTGCCACCTTCCTCTTTTTCCATCTACCTCTTACTCTAACTGTAGCTACAACTAAATAACTAAAATAAATAACTAAATAACTACAACTAAAAACACTGTGATAATATGAAATGTACCGAATGTATGCTTAGATGCGACCACACTGGCTGGCTTGTAAACACTGGCACACACGGAGCAGCTGAGGCCATGCGGGACACTTCCCGGATGAATCACGTGAGGCGAGGCAAAATTTTTTGTGTTCAAATGCTTCGTATGGCGGATTTAACGTAACGCGATGCGTTCGTGAGGCAGGGGTCCACTGTATATATAAAAATTTACATTGGTGCTATAAGGATGAGTTGAAGCTAGGCTTCCCTGTGAGATGATTTAGTTAAGAAACATTTTCAAAATGGATATAACTATTTTCTCCTCTGCTTTAAATGTTGAGTAATTTTCTTTCTTATGCACTGATGCCATCCCTTGCTGTTACAGTCTTTGTTTGCACTTGACCTGGATGGATGCCCTGGCTGCAGTCAAGTGTGTCTGGTCAATTTTTTAATATTGATACTAATCTGGCACTGATGAAACCACACCTACAAATTTTCTGTTGGTTTCACAAAACATTGATCATGTGTCGTGCTTTATAAGCAGATTCAGTCAAACAAGCCAAAGTGATATAAAAGTAGATATGGTATTTTCAATAAATATATCTTGTATGTTGATAATATATTTTTGCAAATTACCATAGTGTGTAAATTTATAATTTTGCACCAAAATTAACTTAGCATCCCCACCTTTCCTTACTAAAATTAACATGATATAATTTAACTTAATCTTACTGAACCATCTTAAAACACCCTCAGTTTAGTTAATATTTTTAACATCAGTGAAATATATTAATTTTGTAATGTGCCAACTAATTTTTGCAAAGTATACTCTTTTTTTTTTTAGGGAGAGGGGGGGGCAGAAGGGAAGAGGGTAAAAATAATTTTTGCTTTATGTTTACTGTACTGTATATTGTGATGTGCAATGTCTTTGATAAAGGAAAGAGTTGTCCATGCGTCACTGAGTCGGACTAGCAGCTTCCTTTCTCCAGGCATCTTGCCTCATCCTCACACATACACACCCTTAGAACATTATGAGTCATTTCACTTTATAACCAGTAGCTGTTCACTGTCTGCTTAATTAGTAGTAGCGGACAATCATTGAAATGCAATTCCCAAGTATTTCCATATCTCATCAGCCAGGCCATCATGCCTAGGAAAGCCTTGTCATTTGCCAAAAGCATATATTCTATGCTTACTGTAGTCCAATACCCCTACCAGGTTTCAGATCTGGAGATGATGGTATTTTGTTTGTCAGAATGTCTTTTGATGAAGGGATTAACCAGTCATTAGCATACTGGTTTTGGGTATTAATGATTAAACAACTATTGGCAACATAACAGTGCTGGGTATCAATGATTGAGCAACTTTTGGCATATTGTACTAGTGCTGGGTATTAATGATTGAAGTGATATATTGCAAAACTGTCAAGTTGTTGCTAGGTTTGGGTGATTGCATAAAAGTGAATTTATAACGAATATGGGTAGGATCAGCACATAAAAGCAATCCCTATAATATGAGGGGAAATCTACCTATACTGCATGTCTTGTCATGAAGCAAGAATGTAGAGCTCCAAATACTGATGTATTTATGCTGCTCAATTTGCTAATTAGCACTGCTACTGAAAGGCTGTCCTTCCCCTTATATTTCTCCTCAAAATCAAAGGAAACTCATTCATGTGACAGTATGTACAGTAGGCAGCATCTCCAGCAAAATAGAAAGCTGCACATTTTGCCATGAGAGAAGAAACAAGCATGGATCAATGAGCTCTGATGCATTAACATACACTCAAGAAGATCTCAGTTGGTGGAGAGAAATGGCATAAAATCCCAACACAGTAAAAGAAGAGATGCCAATGCAGTATAATGTGATACTTTATTAACAAAGTTTTGCCCACATAATAGGCTTTATCAGATCACAGATAGAATCTTCTATTTTTTACTCGATAAAACCCGCCGTGTAGGCAAAAAGTCTGATAAGGATCGTATTATGCTGCATTATCATTTTTTTTTACCTTGGTTACCAGCCAAAATATACATACACATCTTCCCTCATGTATTAGTGAGGTATAGGGATACCTCACTAATACAGCGGGTTAGGTTTCAGACCTCCACCATAAAGCAAATCACAGCCTTTTTTTCCCTTGCCTGAAAGCATGTTGACATTATTATTTATTAAGTGTTTAGTAACACTAGGCCTAGAAAACCACATAAAAGTAAAAGTAATAAAGAAAAAAATTGAAAATTGCCAAAAACCATCTGAAGAGCGAGTGCTGTATTAATGAGGTATGTCTGTATTACACTTTAATGCTCTTACACTGAGAACCATTACAAAACAGGTAAGAGCCTACTCCTTCACCCCAGCAGTCAGCTGACAACATTCATTGGTTGTATAGCACACAGTAAACCTTCAGTGTAATTGACAAGTGGGGGAAAGGTGAGTGGATGGCCGGTCTTGGAAATTGTGGTTGATAGAGATGAGATTTTTTGCCCTGATTCTAACAATAACCGACACTTCTATAACCAAAGAAAATTGTTTGTTTTCAAATCAGTTGACCCAGCTGAATTTTTTGGGTATTTCAAAGTCAGTCAAATCGAAGTGCATAAAATAAAAAGCGTTAAGTCAAAGCTTGTTAAATTAAAGTTCGTAGCACTTTCAGCACTGGAGTTATCCTCTATTTCCTTGACCAGTCGATCAGCCAGGCTGCTGCTGCTAGTGGTCAGCATGCCAACCTAGCCATAACAACCTGACTCTTCAGACATGATGGTCAGACAGTTTTCTCTTGAAAAGTTGTCCATTAATTATTACCATTATTACAGTACTATTTTATCATACTGAATTATCATTATTTTTTATTACTGTTATAGTTATTATTGTTATCATATTCATGCCGAAGAGCTAAATGCATGGGTAATCTAGGTAGTCTGTTATTATTATTATTATAATCATGGAGCACTAAACCTGTAGGGATTATACAGCACCTGTGGGGGGATAGGATGGAAGGTATTTAGTCTCAATTCAGGGAACTGGAGCACAGATCCAGTTTTCTAGATCAAGAGCCCCTCATTAGCATCAAGTAACCTCCCTTGAGGGGTCTGCTCTTACAGACCAGCCTGGTCTCAGGCTGGTCTGTAAGGGTATTATTTCTTTAATCTTGAATGCACTAAACTCATATGGGTCATTATTATTTTTATTACAACCAGGACTAAGTGCCAAAATAACAAGGGTCATACAGACAGAGGTCAGCATATACCTGGGAAACTGCAGGATCCAGTTTATGGGGTGGGGTGGAAGAGGGTGGAAAATATTGTCAGCATTTCTTTTGTTCCTTTTGTTTTATATATATACAGTGGACCCCCGCTTAACGATCACCTCCAAATGCGACCAATTATGTAAGTGTATTTATGTAAGTGCGTTTGTATGTGTATGTTTGGGGGTCTGAAATGGACTAATCTACTTCACAATATTCCTTATGGGTAAAAATTCGGTCAGTACTGGCACCTGAACATACTACTGGAATGAAAAAAGTTCGTTAACCGGGGGTCCACTGTATATATATTTTTTTTTTTTTTTTGCATTATCTCTTTTGATACCAGAGTGAACAAAATTTCCAGTCAATAATGAAGCTAAATATCCAGTTACTGAATAATTAATGATCTGTTTAACTGGGACAGAGGAGAGCAATACCTAACTTATTTGTCCTCAGCTATTGCTTTTTTTTTTTTTATCACACTGGATGTCTCCCACCGAGTTACAGTGACCCCAAAAAAAACTTTTGCCATCATTCAGTCTGTCACTGCCTTGCCAGAAGTACATAGATACTACAGTTCAGGTGCCTCTCTAGGCTACAAATATCTCATTTAGAGTGCAGGCACTGTACTTCCTACCTCCAGGACTCGAGTCTGGCTAAATGGTTTCATTGAATTCCTTCAGAAAAGGTTACCTTGCTCACACTTGATTAATATCTACTTAAATTAATGTGATTATTTTTTTCCTTTATCATAATGCTATGGTTTACTTGAACAGGTTTGCAATGGGGTAAAGGATGGCTGTGATGATGGCTCCGATGAAAACAATTGTACTGCAGTACCCTGTCCCCCTGGTCGAAACTTCAAGTGTTCTAATGGTCGATGTATAGATGGGTAAGTCGGCCATCTATAATAGAAAAAAATTGTAAATTAGATTCTTTGCACTATACTGTAGTTTTCATTTGTTAGTGTTCATATATGGAGCAGGTATTATCCTTTAATGAATAACTAAATATCTAGTTTATTTAGCTATTTTGATTTTGAATTTACTGTATTTGCACTTTAATATTTTCAAGGTGGTTAATATGCAATAAAGTTAATGACTGCGGAGATGGAAGTGATGAATTGAGCTGCGAGGCAACGAGTACAGTTACCCCAGAACCTGAGGAACCTAGTTGTGATGAGACAGAATTTTTGTGTGATAATGGGGCCTGTATCCCTAAAAATAAGGTGAGGAAATATATATACTGCTTCTTTTTTTACCACATCAATGGGTGATTCAAAGAAGGAATACATTTATCATCATTCAATAGTTATCTGCATGATTTGTCATACATTTACTATCATTCAGTAGTTTTATTTTTTATTAACACATTGGCCACTTCCCACCGAGGCAGGGTTACCCGAAAAAGAAAGAACACTTACATCACGACTCAGTGCATCTCTATCTTGCCAGAAGCATACTAACACTACAGTTCAAAAACTGCAACATATCTGCATTATTTGTATAAAATTGTTAACTCTTAATTATCATTCATTAGCTATCTGCATGATTTATGTAACATTATATAATAATAATAATAATGGTGGTTGGGGATTTCAATGCTAAAGTGGGTAAAAATGTTATGGAGGGAGTAGTAGGTAAATTTGGGGTGCCAGGGGTAAATGTAATTGAGCTATGTGTAGAAAGAGTTTTGGTAATAAGTAATACATATTTTATGAAAAAGAGGATAAATAAATATACAAGGTATGATGTAGCACGTAATGAAAGTAGTTTGTTAGATTGGTGGATAAAAGGTTGATGGGTAGGCTCCAGGATGTACATGTTTATAGAGGGGCAACTGATATATCGGATCATTATTTAGTTGTAGCTACAGTTAGAGTAAGAGGTAGATGGGAAAAGAGGAAGGTGGCAACAACAAGTAAGAGGGAGGTGAAAGTGTATAAACTAAGGGAGGAGGAAGTTCGGGTGAGGTATAACCGACTATTGGCAGAAAGGTGGGCTAGTGCAAAGATGAGTAGTGGGGGGGTTGAAGAGGGCTGGAATAGTTTTAAAAATGCAGTATTAGAATGTGGGGCAGAAGTTTGTGGTTATTGGAGGGTGGGAAAAGGAGGAAAGAGGAGTGATTGGTGGAATGATGAAGTAAAGGGTGTGATAAAAGAGAAAAAGGTAGCTTATGAGAGGTTTTTACAAAGCAGAAGTGTTATAAGAAGAGCAGAGTATATGGAGAGTAAAAGAAAGGTGAAGAGAGTGGTGAGAGAGTGCAAAAGGAGAGCAGATGATAGAGTGGGAGAGGCACTGTCAAGAAATTTTAATGAAAATAAGAAAAAATTTTGGAGTTAAACAAGTTAAGAAAGCCTAGGGAAAGTATGGATTTGTCAGTTAAAAACAGAGTAGGGGAGTTAGTAGATGGGGAGAGGGAGGTATTAGGTAGATGGCGAGAATATTTTGAGGAACTTTTAAATGTTGAGGAAGAAAGGGAGGCGGTAATTTCATGCACTGGTCAGGGAGGTATACCATCTTTTAGGAGTGAAGAAGAGCAGAATGTAAGTGTGAGGGAGGTATGTGAGGCATTACGTAGAATGAAAAGGGGTAAAGCAGCTGGAACTGATGGGATCATGACAGAAATGTTAAAAGCAGGGGGGGGGGGAGATATAGTGTTGGAGTGGTTGGTACTTTTGTTTAATAAATGTGTGAAAGAGGGGAAGGTACCTAGGGATTGGTGGAGAGCATGTATAGCCCCTTTATATAAAGGGAAAGGGGACAAAAGAGATTGTAAAAAATTATAGAGGAATAAGTTTACTGAGTATACCAGGAAAAGTGTACGGTAGGGTTATAATTGAAAGAATTAGAGGTAAGACAGAATGTAGGATTGCGGATGAGCAAGGAGGTTTCAGAGTGGGTAGGGGATGTGTAGATCAAGTGCTTACATTTAAGCATATATGTGAACAGTATTTAGATAAAGGTAGGGAAGTTTTTATTGCATTTATGGATTTAGAAAAGGCATATGATAGAGTGGATAGAGGAGCAATGTGGCAGATGTTGCAAGTATATGGAATAGGTGGTAAGTTATTAAATGCTGTAAAGAGTTATGAGGATAGTGAGGCTCAGGTTAGGGTGTGTAGAAGAGAGGGAGACTACTTCCCGGTAAAAGTAGGTCTGGGACAGGGATGTGTAATGTCACCATGGTTGTTTAATATATTTATAGATGGGGTTGTAAAAGAAGTAAATGCTAGGGTGTTCGGGAGAGGGGTGGGATTAAATTATGGGGAATCAAATTCAGAATGGGAATTGACACAGTTACTTTTTGCTGATGATACTGTGCTTATGGGAGATTCTAAAGAAAAATTGCAAAGGTTAGTGGATGAGTTTGGGAATGTGTGTAAAGGTAGAAAGTTGAAAGTGAACATAGAAAAGAGTAAGGTGATGAGGGTATCAAATGATTTAGATAAAGAAAAATTGGATATCAAATTGGGGAGGAGGAGTATGGAAGAAGTGAATGTTTTCAGATACTTGGGAGTTGACGTGTCGGCGGGTGGATTTATGAAGGATGAGGTTAATCATAGAATTGATGAGGGAAAAAAGGTGAGTGGTGCGTTGAGGTATATGTGAAGTCAAAAAACGTTATCTGTGGAGGCAGAGAAAGGAATGTATGAAAGTGTAGTAGTACCAACACTCTTATATGGATGTGAAGCTTGGGTGGTAAATGCAGCAGCGAGGAGATGGTTGGAGGCAGTGGAGATGTCCTGTCTAAGGGCAATGTGTGGTGTAAATATTATGCAGAAAATTCGGAGTGTGGAAATTAGGAAAAGGTGTGGAGTTAATAAAAGTATTGGTCAGAGGGCAGAAGAGGGGTTGTTGAGGTGGTTTGGTCATTTAGAGAGAATGGATCAAAGTAGAATGACATGGAAAGCATATAAATCTATTGGGGAAGGAAGGCGGGGTAGGGGTCGTCCTCGAAAGGGTTGGAGAGAGGGGGTAAAGGAGGTTTTGTGGGCGAGGGGCTTGGACTTCCAGCAAGCGTGCGTGAGCGTGTTAGATAGGAGTGAATGGAGACGAATGGTACTTGGGACCTGACGATCTGTTGGAGTGTGAGCAGGGTAATAATTAGTGAAGGGATTCAGGGAAACCGGTTATTTTCATATAGTCGGACTTGAGTCCTGGAAATGGGAAGTACAATGCCTGCACTTTAAAGGAGGAGTTTGGGATATTGGCAGTTTTGGAGGGATATGCTGTATATCTTTATACGTATATGCTTCTAAACTGTTGTATTCTGTGCACTTCTGCAAAAACAGTGATAATGTGTGAGTGTGGTGAAAGTGTTGAATGATGATGAAAGTATTTTCTTTTTGGGTATTTTCTTTCTTTTTTGGGTCACCCTGCCTCAGTGGGAGACGGCCGACGTGTTGAAAAAAAAAAATAATAATAATAATAATAATATCTTTATTTCTACAAGTACATGTACAAGGTACAGTGGAACCTCAGTTTTCGTTTGCCCTGATTTTCGTCGAATTCAGTTTTCGATGACTATTTTCGTTAAAATATTGTCTGAGTTTTCGTTCCTCACCTCGGTTTTTGTCCGCCATACCGAATGTGTCCGTTTGCTGGCGCCCACACAAAGCATCCTACGCATGCATTCTGAGTCAGTCTACCTTTGTTTTGCTTCGAGTGAACATTACCCTGAGCATTCATACAAAATATTTCGTAATAATCCATTGTTTCCTGTGCTTGTTTATTGAGTGCGACTGCTAAATAAGCCACTTTGAGGCCAAAGAAAGTTCCAAGTGCCAGCCCTTTGATAAAGAAGGTGAGAAACACAATAGAATTCAATGGTGGTAGAGGGTGTTAGTGATGGTGGTAGAGGATGGTAGTGATGGTGGTAGAGGGTGGTAGTGATGGTGGTAGAAGATGGTTGTGATGGTGGTAGAGGGTGGTTGTGATGGTGGTAGAGGGGGGTATTGGTAGTGATTGTGATAGAGGGTGATAGTGATGGTGGTAGAGGGTAGTAGTGATGGTGGTAGAGATAACCTATCCTACCTCTCCCCTCCTCGCTGTCTTCCATATGCCAACAAGAGTCTTCAGTAAAGGTAAAAGTTACTTAAATGTTCATTTATTCATTTCATTAGTGCTCTATATTTATTTATCATTGTTTTCTGTATGTAAAGCAATAGTTATTCTCTATAAAATGCATTTTTGTTAATATTTTTGGGTGTCTGGAATGGATTAATTGGATTTACATTATTTCTTATGGGAAATATTGCTTCAGTTTTTGTCAAATTCGATTTTCGTCAGACTCTCTGAAACGAATTAAAGATGAAAACCGAGGTTCCACTGTATACAGGCCTAGCTGACATCAGTGAGTACGCTGCGGTCAGTGGTCACGTGAGGTCATCTGTCCTAATCAGTCTGAGAATTAGTATGGGGTGTTACTGAGCACCATGGCTTGCTGTAGTGCTTTAGAATCTCAGGTTAAAGTGTTGAAGAAGGAGGTTCTACTTCTTCAGGAGGAAAAAAGGAGGCTGAAGCTTTGCCTAGATGAGTTTGGGAGTGAGTGGCAGCCACTTTAAGTGGCAGGAAGAAGGAAGATAAGGAGAGATAACAGAGAAGATGTGAAGGTAGGAAATTGATTCTCTGTTCTCCAGGATGAGTGCACTTCAGTGGTTAGTGGGGTTAAAGGTACCAGTGACTCCCCTGCTAATCAAGGTAAGAATATTCTGATTGTGGGAGACTCTCAGGTAAGATATATGGACTGTGGTTTTTGTAACAGAGATAGGAAGGTCAGACAGAGAGTGTGCCTCCCAGGAGCTGGTGTTGGTGACATAGTCAGCAGGTTGGATAATATTATGTCAGGTAATGGGAACAAGCCCATTATCTGTTTTAGTGCTGGTGGAAATGACATCGGGAAGGGCAGGAGACAGGAGCTGCTGGATAAGTCATATGTAGCATCTTGCCTAGAAGGGGATTGGGCAATGAATTCAATTCAATTCAAGTTTATTCTCTATAAGGGTTACAATGTGGGGTTTACAGGTTTTGGGTATTGTGTGGTTTACATGTTATAAAATACAATGGTCCCTCGTTTTTCGTAGTTAATCCGTTCCTGGAGTTGCTACTATTAACAAAATCTACGATTTGCGAATCAATTTTCCCCATAAGAAATAATGTAAATACAATTAATCCATTCCTGACACCCAGAAGTATTAAAACAAAAAAATTTTTAACATGAAATATA